CACTTAGACATATATGTGACGTACGACTTTCCTAATCTAGTCGTTTACCGTCAACATTTTAATCCCATTGTCACTGTCTTGCATAATCTATCATTAAATCGGTAGTATGCCTAAAACTTTTAGCATAAGACTTGATAGATACAAGACCATAAAGACCAAAAATATGAAATGTTTCCGTCGTTAAGAAAAAAGAGTTGTAAAATACGCTCTTTCTATAAAAAAAATCGTAAAATACAGTCATCCTCACGATTTAATTTGTTTTGGAACAGATGAGGTATTGGTGTACTAAACATGGGCGCGGTAGAATGCAATGCGTTATGGGGAAAGTGACAGCGGCATGGCACGTGTCGGTCTCCGATTGGACAGATCCGAGCATCGGTCTCCTTTGGCCATGTCGCCACGCTGTTAATTTTGAACATATATTTAACTATTTATTTTATTGAAAAATTTTATGTAAATGTATAAGATATAAATTATGTTTAAAATACTTTAAGTGATAAAACAACTCACAATAAAATAAATTATAATTATGTAATTTTTTTCGAATAAGACGAATAGCCAAACGTGCGACAAAAAATCAGCAGCATCATCTATTAAAAAACGGAGGTAGTATTAGTGAAGCTTTTTTTATACTAAAAATGTATATTCGTGAAGCTGGAGACTCTAATGCTTCCAAGTAGGTTGGATTATGATATTTTCATAACATAACCCATATTTTCTTTTAAATTCGGAGCCGGTTACAGATAGTGCCGGATAACATATCACTCATCCTGTATCATATCCCATATTATTTCATTCGAATCGGATTCAGGAACGGATATCTATTTGTATCTCTAATTCATACTGTAGATATTAAATAAATAAGGTAATTGAAGTATTAAAAGAGATACATCAAGAAGAAATTATACAATATTACATGTGAGCACGTAAAATAGCGACTAACCAATATTTTATCATGTTTTTAGGTGGATTTATAATAAATTTTCATACATTTTATAATACGGGACATACGGACGGATACATGTCTTCCCATATCCTAACCCATATTTAGATTAGAACTATGATAGTATGAGGTATCCTATTTTTTCTCTCATATTCCTCCCGCGAGCCTCGGGTCGGAATATCTGCCCCATTTTCACCCCAGTTCCTTCTCGTCAGTTATCGTTGTAGCTGGACAAAAATTATGCGATGTATCAACCAAGCTGTAAAAAGTGTAAACAAAATTAAGAGCGGTAATATTTTTTTTCTCAATTTTGCTTGTTAACCAAGGTAATCTCTCCCCCTCCACGTTAAGAGAAACCCGCTTTCAAATACAACGAAACAAACAAACACACTGTTTTCTATCAGACTAAGACGGAGAGTAGAAAGCATGTAGCTTTCATGCTTCGGTGAGACGGTGACTTGCTCACTTGATTGAAACAATTATAATCCTCGAGTGGTTATTCTCTTATTTATTCAAAAACAACATAAATAAAAAAAATAAAAGTTTAATAGCAACTCTACAAAAGTCTTACATCTGAACTTAACTTACACATAAAAAAAAAAGACAAATCTATGTATGTACTGGAGTATTTTTTTTTCTCAATGTGTAGATCGAGTATAGAGAATAGGTAGCACCGTGTGAAATGCTACTACTACTACCATTGTTACTACTACGTCACCACTGTTTTACTACAGTTTTTTTCTTAAAGTATGGTGCTGTTGAGATGTTATCTAAACAGAGAATTCGCATGAAAAGAGCTATAGCACGGATAGACCATGTCCGGCATTATTGAGCTACAATTCCAATCCAACACACAAACAATCAACAGATACAGAAGTGCAAGATAACAACTTTTCCTTTTTCTGTGTCTCTCAATTTTTGCTGCTACTATTTATTTCTCGTGCTGATTTTAGCACTCGAGGCTACGACCACACAGTTCCCCGAATGAAACCACGTTCTTGCCTTGTGTCCTTGTCATCCCATTCTGATCTTTTTTCTGTGGCAGGTACGACCGTACATGTGCAAAGCAACACATAGCTATTTTCTTTACAGTTGTTCACAAGTCTCTAGAAAATTTATTAGTCAAAAATTTTGTTCACTTGTCGGTGGATTCAGGTCACTAAGTGGTCCATGTAGTTACAGTAAAAAAATAATCAGGAATCTCAACAGAGAAAACAGCTCAAAAGCGTAGAGAGAAACTATATGTATCAACGGATAGTCCAAAAGTCTAATACAAATATTGGCCAGATTTTTAGAAATAGGCTTGCGCTATTGAAATCAAATATTCAAGCATAAACAAGTCAGGGCAGGCCCAAAATTCAGAAACCCATGGACAGTCCAGTCCATCAGAAATTGAGAATGGCGCTAATCAATTAGGCTGCATTGAATCAACTCAATATTGCAGTCATTGTTGAGAACAATCGGACGATCTATCAGATTCTATATTTTTTTTTCAGACACTTAAGCTTTGGCGTAGTAGCTTATCTACCAAATCGAGAAGAATCCTATATACGTGCTTCAAGAATGCATTGCAACTTCTGATCAGAATTCAGGTCGTTACCTGAGATTTCAGACAGGAATTCACGGGGCCTCGTCGTACTGCTTCGCTTTGCATTAGCTGTCTACTACTCTCCTGTGGGTCAACTCCATGGGCTTCACCTTGAAGCTGAATCATGTAGCTGACGACCTGTCTCTCTGGCCTCATTGAACATTCCAGGCTAGCATATCCTCCCACGAGCGTGTGATGCGTCATACATAAAGTTACAGCACATGGAGCCAATGCCATCTGCGATCATCTCGGATAGGATCCTCTGAGCATCTTTGATCAGACCTCGCAAGCAGAATCCGTTTACGACGACAGTGTTATACGATGCAACGTCAGGCTTCACCTGAGAACTTTCCAGCTGTTTCAGTATATTCTCAGCTTCCCAGGACTCGTTGGACTTGGCATACATGTCCATTAAGCTGTTGTAAATGATCAGGATAGGGTTCAGCCTGCTCTGCTTGATTGAATCGAACAACTCTGTGGCTTTGCTATGCAATCCATTATTCGCATACATTGCAAGCATGGAGTTGAATATCGCTTGTAACCCTGTGCCTTTACCTCTTAAAATGCCTTCTCAATTCCTTCCAGCCATCGGCACTTAAAGTTGGCAATCACAAGGGTCCGCAAGATAACCCAGCTGGGGAAAATGGTACAGTCATAAACTTCTTTCTGAGAGCTTCTATCCCAGCTGCATTGCCACCCTTTGCATAGCACTGGATCAGAATATGACTGATCATTCCGCTTGTTCGGCCTTGTTCAGTATTTTGCTCACTATGGACTGAGCAGTGGGCCAATCACCTTGTCGTAACAGCAAATTCAGCAAAGAATTGCATGTGAAGCCAGCACACGGACCATTTCATCATACATCTTGAAAGAGTTTGTCCTTGAACCACACCAAACCGTAGACAGATATCAGTGTGTCAAATGTGTGTCTCGGCTCAGCTCAACCACACAAGACTTCATCCCCTGGAGTACCTGGGTGACATATCCTCCATACCCCGCTTCTTGCAGACGGCCAGCATTCTGTTCCGGCCTTCAGGTGACCCGATTCGGTGTACATCCACTCCTTGACATCACCGCGAGCATCTTCAGCATCACATTGAACCTTTTTTTTTTGGAGAACTCATCACATTGAACCTTGAATTCTTGATTAATTTCTTCCCCAGCATACCAGAGATAAGATCGTAGCTTTGTAGGTGTTCACCATTCTTTGTTCGGTCGAACAGCGGGAGGAGGCATCGCGGCGATAGAGCGTCTCATCCACCCTACCAAAGCTGTCATGAACATATTGCGGGTGAATGTGTTAGGCAATAATCCCTTGCTGGTCACTGTACATATCAAAGCACTTAGCAGACTCCTCAAAGAACCCCAGCCCTAGCTATGTACCGGCGAACTCATTGTACATATGCTGCGATCGCCCGTGCTGCGTCTCCTCAACCAAGGGCGATGCGCAGATTCGGGAAGCAGATCCTCTGACTTAACTGCAGCAGTTAAGTCAGAGGATCCCTTTCCGAAGATTCGTGGCCACGAGCGCCCCCATCCCACCACCCGTACACGTCGAGCACGACGTTGTAGGTGACGAGCGATCGGGGACGCCGCCGCTTCCGAGAACAGCTCGAGCGGCCCGGCCGGGAGCGGCATTTCGTCGAGCAGATAGCAGACGGCGTCGTGCTGCCCTTCGCCGGACGAGTGGAGGACCATCTCAAGCGCCGCGGGGTCGGCGTGGAGTGCAGGTCCGCGCGTGGCCGGCGCCGGAACAGGGGCTGCGGAAGAGTAGCGAGTCGAGCGGCAGCACGAGTTCGTCGGCGGCGTAGGCCGGCGGCGGCGGCGAGAGCGGAGTGGCCACCGTGTGCGGAGGAGACCAGGAGGGTCGGACGGGTTACGTGCGGCCCATATATATTGGGCCGAAACAGTATCACGGCCGACGTGCGGCCCATATTTATTGGTCTGGAACAATACCGCGGGCTACGTGCGGCCCATGCATATATTGGGCTGGAATGGTACAGTGGGCTACGTTCGGCCCATACAGCGGGTTAGATTCGGCCTATTTACATTGACACTGACATGTGGGGGCCTACGTGCTGACTCAGCCAACCAACGGATCAAAGATGACACGTCGGATGAAACCACCTCCCAAACCGCCGAGTAGTTCATTTGCAACAGTTTAGTCAGTTGGAGGACAGGTTATACCGCTTTTGCGGTTGAGGGATGCGATTTAATTAGGGGCATCAGTTGAGGAACGTAAAGTAGACTTTATTTTGATTGACAGGATCGTGACAAACGTGCGGCCCATATACTGGGCCGGAACGGTAACAGGCCACAATGTTGGGCCGGAGCGGTATGTAGTGCTTAATCGCAAACTGAGGCAGAACATAAAATCTGATTATACAAAGCACATGAATGTCCAGAAATCCATGATTTGAATTAGGGATTATGTCAGTAACAATTGAATGAATAATTCGGTTCCTATTCTAAATGAAATGTACAATTTTAAATCACTTCGATTTAACTTACAAACTTCTGATCCAGACAAGATCCGGAGCTTTGTCAAACGTACCCTGAATATCAGAACTTTACACATAGACAGCAGGAGTGCAAGAGCCAGAAATGCATCAAATGAAGTTTGTGACATGCACTACACCTACATGTTGAGTACATTACTACATTTACCAATTAACAGACATAAGTTAGACTACTGGGTACATGGCAATGTTTCCCTTTCCTTCTGTCTAATACTTGATACACATGTCAGATGGAACAGACATCTGTACAAGAGTGAAGGCTGCAATGTCCTTCAGAGATTGTGACTTTTCAGGTTCTTCAGAGATGATATACATAAGACCATGGACAGATTTGAGGACATCAAATTTGTCTAGCATTCATTTTGCCTTCCTTGGCCTCCCAACTGGTCTCTTCACCGGAATATCGCCTAAATCTGGTGACTGCTCCATCAGTGCCAATTTACTTTGCTCTAGCAAGTCGATCTCTGACTTTACTGTGACATCATGTGAACCCTTGCTTTGCTCTAGCAAGTCGGTCTCTGATTTTACTGTGACATCATTACTCTTGCGACGTGAACCCTTGGCAGGAGACCTTGCCGGGGTAATCCTCTGCGTGTTGGGTGCCCTTCGTCTCCGGTTCTTAGAACCATTTTCTAGCGGCACGCCCACTGGCATGCTGAAATAGATACTAATATTACCTTTTTTTTTCGAGGTGAAAGATACTAATATTACTCCACTGACCTAAAATAGGAGTAGTTTGTGCTACGATCATTCATTATAACATGCATTTTTTTTTATCTTTTATAACATGCATTTTACTTGTTCAACATGAAGTGATCAATGATAGGAACTTAGGCAGGCAACCTTGAGGAGGCCAGTGTGTTCCACAGACATAATCTTCTTGCATTGTCATGACAGTGGCAACAATGATCGTAAGTGGCAATGTTGTCCTATATATGTGTGCATAACGTTGCAACAGCCATCATTAAGATGTCGTGACATTTCAATCTTAAAAAAGGACTGATCTAGAGCGACTCAAACATTTCAAGCTCTAAAAGTAGAGAACACTCCCAAATAAGGCTGTGTTTAGATCCAGGGGTGTAAAGTTTTAACGTGTCGCATCGGATATACGGACACACATTTGAAATATTAAACGTAGACTAATAACAAAACAAATTACAGAATCCGCATGTAAACTGCGAGACGAATTTATTAAGCCTAATTAATCCGTCATTAGCAAATATTTACTGTAGCACCACATTGTCAGATCATGGAGCAATTAGGCTTAAAATATTCATCTCGCAATTTATACACAATCTATGTAATTAGTTATTTTTTTCGTTTATATTTAATACTCCATGCAGGTGTTCAAACATTCGATGTGACAGAGTGAAAAATTTTGCTAGGAAATCTAAACAGGGCCTAAATTCACACATACAGAATAATGGAACAGGCGACGTGGGGTACCTGAGTGCAGTCTCAATATCCTCCTTAAACATTAATTTTGAGACAGAACAATAATCATCACATGCAGCATCTGTTCAAGGCAACCAACAAACTCAGAAGATATTAAGTTATCATTTCATGGCAGTAAGAGAAATATAGCAATTCCAAAGATGACAACATACGCTCATGCTTCTGGTGTGAGAGATCCATCATCTGCTGCTCGAAAGGAATACAAACATCCAAAGGTTCCACCTTCAATGGAAAGCTGTTCTTCAGATCCTATGGTAGAGATTAGCGTTAACTTCGTTTGTGATATGACTGACGAAACAAGACAGACGAAAAATATATCATGTTTGAGATGTGACTGGACACTTTACCTTATTGGTACATGGATTTAAAAATTCAGAATCATAGTTTTTATTGCCATCACCAGCTGAAGGTTTGTTAGGTATGCCTATTTTTTCATCGGCACTCCCAACAATTGAAACAATATTAGAATATATTAAATTGTTGGTCCCAAAAAGGGGAACATCTGATAATTTATTGTCATCTCCTGAAAAGCAACCAAATGAATTATGATTCTTGGCGATGAGGTTTTCACATGAATTTGAATCTGGGTAAGAAAAATATGCATGAAAATGTGAATCTCAAACAAATTGTATAAAGGGAAACAAATTCCCCCTCCCAAAGAAACGTTTAAGTAATTTTGTAATTCCTACCTGAATGAGTTCGAATAACATCGACTTGCTTAAAATTTGAAATTTCTAATGAATTTCCATTAATTTTTGGCCTGACTCTTCGGGAGTCCTCAGGGTCAGGGGTATCCGTTGCAACAGAGCAACTTCTTTTGAGTACCTGCAGTTAAATGTGCAGAGAGAAATTCTATCACTGCAGAGTATGATACAAAGGAGAAACAAAGAAAATCAGTAAATTAGATGGTTGTAAAGATTCAAAAGAGAACTATTGACCTACACTTTCTTCCATATAATTGCAAGCAAAGATACCAGAGTCAACGTACTCATTAATTCGTATTGCATCCTATAGCAAATAGGACTTTCGGCTGTTACATTACCAGTTGCATTGCGTAGAAGGCTAGAGATCCACTGCAAATGTACAAATCCACTATATTGCTATAGTGCTATGGCAGTCTAACAGCACTCAAGTACAAACAATATACATCATTTCTATTTTCCCATGAATATAAGTTAAATGATGAGGGATAAGTAAGATTATTGGTCATCATTCATCTGATTGAAAGACAATTTTAATATTTTGGATGCTTTATGTCGAACTGATTATTAGGGTTTCACTTTGCACTTTTGCAAATATAGCCATGTATTGTGGCTTGACTGTTCGAGTTACCTTATATCAGTACAAACTAAAATTATAAGCAAAGAGCACTCACGGATTGAATCTTATCAGTAGCGTGGGCGAAAGGACCCCTATCATGAGCTATTGTTGTAGATGCACCGGCACCAGCACTATTATCAAAAACATGGTCCTGGACTGGAGGAATTGAAGTTGCAGGCAACAATCCTTTTGGACTCAATGAAGAATATCCAATATTTGCTTGTCTGCCAGTCTTCCAATTGATTGGAAGAGCAAGCCCACCAGCATCAACTCCATTTAAATTTGAGTCCACAACCCGCTCTTGAATTATCTTTACTAGTGCATTGCATTCAGACCTAAGTGGAATAGTTCGGTAAAATCAGAAATAGGTATGTAAATTAAACAATATTGTATAGAACTAGAAGAATATAATGGAAGGAAACAAGATGTACTACATGGATACCTTGAATAAGTCTCCTGCTTAAGTAACTGCATTATGGCATCCTTCGGCTCAATCTCTGAGATAATTGCTAGTGATGCCTCAGAATAATCTTTCATAATTGCTTCATTTTCACTCTGACATCATATCAGGCAAAAAAAGATGTACAACTTTAGTCTCAGAAGTCCTCAATAGATAAGGACGCACTCCTAAACCCAGCAAGTGTTTGTTTAGAAAAAGAAGGTATGCAATTTTTCAAATAACAAACAGGAAAGCCAAGAAGCGAGAATACCTTGTTTAACTTATTAGCTTTCGGAAAAAATAGTGGGGAATTACCATGATCTGTGAGCGAAAAGAAAAGAATCAGCACAGGGATACATAACAGAGAAATCATTTTTTTAGTATGGCAGTATCTATGCAAAATGCAAAAAGGTACAGCCCTTTAAAAGAAAAGAAAGAACTGGCTCGAGCACGAACAATGAAACATCATAGTCAAGAAATTCACCCAAATTCATAAAATACAAAAAAATGCACATGAGAAAGATAACGTGATCAAAGTGTTGTAAATAGTAGAAACGAGATATGGAGTAATAGGCATAAAAAAACCATCTTTTCACCACAGATTTAGACTAATTCCAGATATTACCATGATTTTGGAATCACCCTTGTTTTGGACTATTAAGAAAACTGCATGTTTTGTATACTAGAAAAACACACAATTGTCATGCTACAGAATGAAAGACTAGCAGCCGTGTCTTTTTTGCAGGGAAGTATAAACAGTTCCTGCATCTAGCATTAGGAGAAAGGTGATGATGATTGAACTTACAAGTTTGAGATAGCCTCCAAGTTCAAACGCAAACTAATTGACCAATCACTGAAGTCACTAACAGGTTCCAGTCTGGCTGGCTGTTTGTTAGACAAGCTAGAAAACTCGGTCTTACTTTTAAAAGATAGGGTCATATACATACATGCCTTCATGATCTCCTCGCTTATCAACTTTGGATTATAAAAATACAAAGCTTCAAGGCTATAAAATATTTTGGACTATGACATTTCAGGATCAAAGTTGTAGGTGAGTAATCAAGGGTCTCCACGAACCAAATGCAGCCAAAATAAAGGGTTAATAGGTGAATTACAGGAAACTATATGAATAAAAAGGCAACAAATAGGCATTTTCACCTAGTTAGTCGCTTAGTGCCAATGCACTCAAGCCCACGACCCAACGCATTTTACTAGTACAGTACTGAACCTGGATTGACTTTTGTGTGCAACAATGACAGCGACATTGCCATTGACATGACTATGCACGACATAATAGCATGAGCTCAACAAACAAAACACACAGAAACAAGCATATTTATGCCCTTTTTTATACTATTATTAAAAGACTGACATGTGACATGTGAGCCATCAATGTTCTGTTTGCTCTTAGTACTATGTAGGTTGCGTAGGTTGCAGCTCTTTAATTTTCTAAGCATGGTAAAATGAATGATCTTGTTTGAACCAACTGAAAATAATACCTTTTTTCAGTAATTATTTAATTTTATTATTTTCGGAAATACTACACAGGTATTTGGCTAGTTTTTCAGTATGAAACTGCTAGGTGTTGAAATTTCGATTCTATTCACAGTTCCATGCACTCAAACCGCAAAAGCGAGAATCCCATTGTAACGTTTCCCATGAGCGGCCCTAATAAGTTAATTCAAGCGGCCAAGCTAGCTAGGATTCCACAAGCAAATGAAGGCCCGCATCCAACTCCTGAAATGGCTAGCAAAGCATGGACGATTACGAACACACACACACACAACACTTCTACCTCGAATATAACCGGGATGCCTGGACGACGCCGGGGAGGAGGACGCGGACGGCGACGTGGCTGAGGTCGTCGTGGCGGAGCCGGAGGCGGCGGCAGGCGAGTCGGGACCTAGCACGGAGGCGAGGATCCGGCCGGCTCCGGAGACGAGGCCGGAGATCCACCCCCTCGGCGGGGGCGGAGGAGCCTCCGGCGCCGGAGACGCGCCGCCCGCGGCGGGTGACTCCATGCGCGACGACGACGACGACGAAGGGCGGAGGCGGTGGGAAGGGGAGGGGAGGGGAGGGGAGGAGAAATCGAGCGGGAGGAGGGATAAATTGAGGCCGTATTTGGGGAGGAGTAAATTTGGTGCGGGGGGCGGTTTGAAAACGCTCCAAATTTGGGGGATCCTCTGCCCCCTCTGCTTCCCGCCCGCGGATGGATTTCTGAACGTTTTTTGTGAGGGCCCACATGTCAGTGTGTGTTGTAGGGGGCATGTTCGTTGTGCATGGTGAGCTTGGATACCACATATGGAAAGTACATACAGTACTATTATTATATACTCCATTCTAAGACCGTAAATATAAGGCAAAATTTATTATAGGACATTTAAAATTTTTGTAATTTACTGATAGATATCGTAAAAAGTGTCACGGTTGAAAGTCGCTCTGAACATTTGGTAATTTGTTAGATGAAACTTTCCGGCTCAATTAGCAAGAGAAATTCTTTAAAAAATGCGGGAATGTTCCTATGGTCAAAAGTTTCTGAACTAAGTCTGAAGTGAGGATAGACTATGTTGTGTGCTAGTGATGGAGTACTTTGGGTGATGATAAATTTAGAGTTGCGCTGGGAGCATTATCGTCTTTCTTAAGAACTTCACTCCTATTGAGATGAAAGTGTCTTATAGCAAACTATCAGTTTTTAAGATATCTTAACTTTTTTCAACATCTACAGTAAATTACACAGGTGTTGGGTGTCCTCTGACAAAAATTGTCCAAGGGATTATACCCATTTAATAGAAACTAAGAAATAGGCAAAATACGAGACAATGGTTGTATTGACACATAAAAAAAACTGCAGAAAGTACATGTTCAGGGAAGAGTGGGAGTGAAAAAAAGCTGATAAGTTGATGCTAAATCCTGCTATTCTTTGCTCACATTCATTGGCGGAGCCTGAAAGATTTTTGAGCCCTGGCAAATTCCAATATAACTAATATTTTCATCATTAGCAAATTTCTTTTACCCTGTTACATCGAATGTTTGAACATATGCATGAGGGTATTAAATATAAACGAAAAAAACTAATTACACAGAATGCATGTAAATTACGAGACGAATCTTTTAAGCATAATTGCTCTATGATCTGACAATGTGGTGTTACGGTAAATATTTACTAATGAAGGATTAATTAGGCTTAATAAATTCGTCTCGCAGTTTACAGGCAGAATATGCAATTTATTTTGTTATTAGACTACGTTTAATACTTCAAATATGTATCCGTATATCCGATGTGACACGCCCAAACTTTACCCCCCATAAATCTAAGCACAGCCTATAGATATTTCATCATCAATTTACTTATCAATATTAAAAATTTAATGAAATTCTCGCCGACAAGTCCGGGATAGACAGATGGTGGCTCCGTAATTTTGAATCCCTTGTATTGGTGGATAAATCAGAAGGTGTAATCCCTTGACCTGCAGGCCAATTCTACCGAACATGCCGAACTTGCTCGAACCCATTTAAAGACGTACAATGTGAGAGGAGCTAAGTTTATCATGCCACGATCAAGTAGGCTGGGTAAATGAGAAAGTAGCTAATCCACGTGCTAAATGCAATGTCTTAAGGGCTATGAAGCACTGATACGGCAAAGCAGGCGCGTGTCTGTGTCCGACACGCGATCGGATACGGACACGTATCGGACACGGCCGGATACGTGTCCGGGACGTATCGGTATTTATCCTGATTTTAAAATAAATAAAATAATTCCTGATACGTTTCCGATACGTTCTGATACGGTCCCGATACGTTTAACCCTAATATTCCGCCGGTACCAAAACCCGCGCGCGCGTGGGGAGCATATCCACCCAGCCTGCGCCGCCTCTCAACTCTCACTCTCGCCTCTCTTCCCCAACGCTCCAGCGCCGCCGCCGCCCCATCAGCCATTGCCGCTGACGGGCTGCGCCGGCGCCGCCACGCTGCTCTCCACCTCCGACGCTGGCTCAACAGCGTCACCACCAACGCCCCTCACGTGCTCCAGTGTCGTCGCTGCTGCCGGGCTGCCTCGTCAACCGTCGCCGCCGCCGAGCTGCGCCGGCGCCGCGCACTGGGCTGCGCCTCGCCGCCTCCTACTGTGACGTCGGCACAACACTGTCGTCGCCGATCTGTTTTCCTGTTCGTTCCCTTGTTGAGGTGAATAATAAATCCCCTCTTTTAGCATTCTATGCACTGCAGCAGAGCAATACTGCAATGCTCTTCTTATTTCGTTTAGAGTTTTAGTGGATCTGCAAGAATGCAATGCCCTTCATCTTTTCTTAGTATAAGTACTATCTTTTTTTTGTTAGATCCCATGGATTATCGAACTGGAAGCTCAAGTGCTAGTGCTAGTGCATCTAGCCATCCTAGTGGTAGTCCGGCTCCTAATTCTGCTGCTGATTTATCAAGAGGAACTAGTGGTCCAGCAAGGGCAAGCAACCTCTTGAATGCTTCCCGTGTGATTCCTCCCAATGACAATGAAAACAAGCCATTGTGGAGGTATGTTGAGTTAATGGAGAAAACAGGTAAAGGCCAGGGAGGGAATGTAAGGTTTAGATGCAGGCTTTGTGGTAATATTATGCATGGGAGCTACTCAAGTGTTAAAGCACATCTCTTGAAGGTGGGATCTAATGGTGTAGCTCCCTGTCCAAAGGTAACAATCGATGTTCTTAGTCAACTTCACGATGAAATGGCTAGAGCTGCAGCAGTTGCTGAAAGGAACTTGCCTAAGGACATCCCACTGCCAGCAGAGGGCGCGAGTAGGGGGAAGAGAAGGGCTGTTTCAGCTATTGAGTCTAGCTTCAATTCAGATACTCGTTCCAACCTTGATGCTTTGATTGCGAGAATGTTCTACACAGCAGGTTAGACTAGAGTTTAGTACGTTTTATTAACTCATACATTCTCATATTTGTGTTACAAATGTGACTAATATTTGGACATTTGGTTTGGTCTGTAGGCATTCCTTTCAATGTTGCAAGAAACCCATATTTCAGGAAGGCTTTTATGTTTGCTTGCAACAATGCGCTTGGGGGCTATTCCCCTCCAAGTTACAACAAGCTACGAACTACTCTTCTTGTTCAAGAGAAGACACATGTTGAGCGGTTGTTAAATCCCCTTAAGTCGACATGGCCTGTAAAAGGTGTGAGCATTGTGTCCGATGGGTGGTCTGATGCTCAAAGGCGCCCACTCTTGAATTTTCTAGCAGTGACAGAAGATGGGCCAATGTTTTTAAGAGCAATCAACACTGAAGGAGAAATTAAGAGGAAGGAATATATTGCTGAGAAGATGATTGCAGTCATTGAGGATGTTGGACCAAAGAATGTGGTACAGGTTATCACTGACAATGCAGCTAATTGCAGGGCTGCTGGGTTGATAGTTGAACAGAGGTACAGGCGCATTTTTTGGACGCCGTGTGTTGTCCATACCTTGAACCTGGCCTTGAAGAACATATGTGCAGCCAAGAGTTCAAGTGGGGATGCTTATGAAGAATTTCAGTGGATCACTGAGGTAGCAGCAGATTCTTCTTTCATAAAAAACTTCATCATGAACCACTCAATGAGGCTCTCCATGTTCAATGAGTTCAGTAAGCTAAAATTTCTTGCCATTGCTGATACAATATTTGCTTCTACCATTGTAATGTTAAAGAGGTTCCGTGCTATCAAAGAATCTCTAATCTTGATGGTAGTGAGTGAAAAATGGAATTCTTATAGGGAAGACAATCAAGTTCAAGCACAGCAAGTCAAAGAGAAGGTTCTAAATGATGTGTGGTGGGATAAGGTGCAGTATATCCTAGATTTCACTGATCCTATCTATTTCATGATTCGTGCAGCTGACACCGACAAACCTTGCCTCCATTTGGTTTATGAGATGTGGGATTCAATGATAGATAAGGTGAAAAAAATAGTTTATCGTCATGAAGGGAAAGAACTAGATGAGCATTCCTCCTTTTTCTTTCATGTGCAAGAGATCTTGTACTCTCGATGGGCAAAAAGTAATACCCCCCTGCATTGCTTGGCACACTCACTGAACCCCAAGTAATGTTCTGCTTCTACTTTTAAATGTTTGTTTCCATAATTTGTAGTCGTTGTTAGCCTATTAATTGTTTTTATAAAATGTAGGTACTACTGCGAAAGCTGGTTGGCTGAGGTTCCAACCCGTGAAGCTCCTCACATGGATGCAGAAATTTCAGAAATGAGAAACAAATGCTTCAGAAGGTATTTTGCTGGTGATGAATTAAGGAAGATCAAGCAGCAGTTTGCAGATTTCTCGCTGTTTGGAAATGGGTTTAATTCCTTTGACTCAATCGAGGATAGAGCTCATTTGGATGCAAAGCAATGGTGGGGAATTTATGGTAACTCTGCCCCTGAGTTAAAAAAATTGGCGCTAAAATTACTTGGACAACCAACATCATCATCTTGTGCTGAAAGAAATTGGAGCACCTATGGTTTGATCCATAATTCAATGAGAAACAAGTTCTGTTCCTTCTCTTACTTAGTAAATTTCTTGTATGTTTGAAATGCATGGAACTGATCAGTGACTACAATTGCTTTATTGTAGGCTAAACCCTGGACGTGCTGAAGATTTGGTGTTTGTGCACCAGAATTTGCGTCTTCTTTCCAGGAAATCTGAAGAGTACTGTACTGGTCCATCAAGAATGTGGGATGTTGGAGGAGACAGCTTTGAGATGTTCGAGGGTGGTGCTGATTTTCTTCAAGAAGCTGCTCTTTCACTTGATGAGCCTGACCTTGAGAGGGTGCTAGAAGATCTTGGTGCATTGGATCTGTCTGCTGATGCTGGACCTTCAGCCACTTCAGTTACCATGATTGATACAAGCAGCAATTAAATTGATCTACCTATCTAGTTATTATTGAATTGAACTTAGAGTACTGAACAAGTTTATCGGTCTATCCTAATTATTCTATTTGTGGCTGTGAACTTGTTATTTATAAACTAGTTGTGTGCCCGTGCCCTGTGGGCTGGATGTGAACTTCTATGGTCATTGCGAGTTTGGATGTACCGTTGAACTATTAATTTGTGGTCTATGCACTATTTGTGGTCTAGCACTTATTCACAATCTATTTTTGCCCTGTTCAATTTACTACTTTTCTGTATTTTTAATTTATATATATATATATATATATATATATATATATATATATATATATATATATATATATTAGCGTATCCCCGTATCCTCAATTTTTGGAAAATGTCGTATCCCCGTGTCGCCGTGTCGCGTATCCGTGTCCGTATCCCCGTATCGGGGTAACATAGCTTAAGGCTGCAACTGCACAGCACAGTCCGAACCGTACAGCCCCGTTGGCTTGGCTTCCCGGATGCGTGCGCCTTCCATTATTCGATTGCGTCAAACCTCGATACGCTTTCGCCGAGCCGTTACGAATTTCGTCAACACGCCTCTTAAGCCACATTAACCTTTGCTTACGAACAGACTGAAAAATCCTTCGGCGCGAAGCCTTCTCCCACTCCTCCCACCTCCACACGCCGCGGGCGCGCGCGCGGCGCGGAGCTCGTCTCGCCTCCGGCGAATCGCCCCCGATTCCAACAAGGTGCGCACGAATCCCTCCCTCCGCATCCCTATCTCACGGCAACCACCGATCGGATTCGCTGAATCGAGAGGAAATAGCGGGCACAATGGGCTTGGGTTTGTTCGCGAGAATTTTTTATCACCTATTCGTGAACCAAATGGTATTACTCCGCAGCAATGGGTAAGCGAGTGGGCGGAGTTTGTAGATTGGGATCGCAAAATCCCGTGGATGATGGCCCAAAACAATGTCCCCATTTTAAGTTGGTTGAACTCCCCCTAAATAAGGCTCTGATACCACTTGTTAACTCAAAACTGGGAGATGGTTGAACTCCCCCTTGTTAACCTAAAACTGGGAGATGGTTGAACTCCCCCTAAATAAGGCTCGATACCACTTGTTAACCCAAAACTACCACTTGTTAACCCAAAACTGGGAGACGTTGGCCCAATCTGAAGAAAGCACCCCAAAAGTTAGCTCAAGAGGTGAGGGACTCCCTCCACTTTTAAGTTGGTTCAACTCCCCCTAAATAAGCAATGTGGGACTATTTCCAACAGTGGATCACGTCTGTGATGTGGTTTAGGGTTTATGCGGGTGGTTGTTTGCGATACTGAGGCCTCGTTTGGTAGGGCTCCAAACTTCAACTCCCAACTCTAAACTCCCACTCCAGTGGGAGCTAACTCCTATAGGAGTTGAAGACCTATTGGAAAGTGTTTGGTAGGTTTTGAGCTCCAAATCTAATTTTTTTTAAAAAAATAATCCCCAATCGCAGTTGCCGTCCTCGTCCCCGCGTGCGGCCGGCCGCCGCCTGCTGTGCGCCAACAGCCACGGGCCGCACGCCGCTCACGCGCCATGCCCGACGCCGACCGCCGGCCGCGAGCCGCTCTCGCGCCGTCCCCGACGTCGGCCGCTATCGACCTCGCCGCCAACCGGCCGCCGGCCGTCGTCGAGCCCGTGGGAGTGAGTGTGATGGGAGGGAGAGAGAGAGATGTGAGAGGTGAGTTAGGGGTAGTTGAGTGGCATTTTTGTGTAAATATATAAATTTAAAGGGTAGTGAGTCTTTTGGTTGGAGTGGAGTTGTGTAGCAGAAAAACCTAGCTCCACCTCCTTAGTACAAATTTGTGGAGTAGCTCTGCCAACTCCGCTCCTAAAAACGGAAGATTTGAACTGTTTGGCACAGCTCCTGCTCCAAGTAAGTTGGAGTTGGGAGCTGGAACTGTGCCAAACGGGGCCTGAGTTCTAATCATGAAAGTCTCGTTTAGACTGCAGTGTGGACTGCACAAGCGCCGCCTACTTCTTCTGCATTACCCGCGCCTCCCGAAAAAAATTTATTAATATACTTATTTTTTTAATAATTTACGTTTATATACCTGCATTGGACGGATCCGCAAAAATATACCCGCCCCGCGAGACGGAAACGCGGAATTGCGATTGTTCCGCAGCTCTAAAACGCGGGACCATCGGTCCCGCAGAATGGTCGCGTGGGACCGCGATGGTCCCACAGGTACGGAATGCGGCAGCGAGGCAGCCTGCGATTTTTATCGTTGTTTAGCACTGTGTAGCACTGTTTTAATACTGTTTGAAACTATTTTACACTGTTCACACAAGCGGTACCGCAGGTTTACTGTGCGGAACCGGCCCCTAAACAGGCCGCAACAGTGTCGAACAGTGCAAACAGTACCCCAAACAGTGTTGAACAGTGCCGACTCAGTGAATAAATCGCTAGCCAACTCGCTCCCGGGTTTTGAAACCGCGGGACCGTCGTGGTCCCGTGCGACCGTTACGAGGGACCGACGTCTCGCGTTTTAGAGCTACGGGACTGTCGTGGTCCCGCGTTTCTGTTCCGCGGAACGGATATGTTTTTGCGAATCCATCTTATGCAGGTATATAAATGTAAATTATCGAAAAAATAAGTATATTTGTAATTTTTTTCCGCGCTTCCCTCCCTCACGCCTCGCCTCGCCCGCCCACTCACTGCACTCCCCATCTCCCCCGCAGCCTCCGCGCGTGCCGTTGCGGCGGCGATGGATTTGGTGCGACTCCGGCCGTCGCTCCTCGCCGCGCGGGGCCCCCGGTGCGGCCTCGCTGCCGCCTCTCCGGCGAGGTCAGTCGCTGCGGCGCACCCTCCCGGCCACCCCTCCCTTCATCTGCATGCTGTGTGATGTGAGCGTGTGTGATTGGTGATAACCTGACTTGGGCTAGTGATGGCTTGCGCTGTAGATATTCAGATCAGTAGTGTTTTTTTTTTCATGCCGGATTTGTTAGGCCGAAAGTGTGAACCTTACTTCATCCGGTATAAGATGCAGAGAAAAAAAAACTTTTGAATTGGTAGAGTAGGGGATTTGATTACTGAAGGTTTTTGTGAGTGATCAGGTCATGTCAATTATCTCATGGGAAGATAGATTTATTATTGAAGCTTTACTGATGTAGTAGTGGTACAGTTCACAGTTTTAACTATAAGGAATTTTACAGTTCTTAAGAAAGTACTTTGAGGTATCTAAATTTTACACTTTTTTTTTGCACCTTGAGATACTTAGTACACTAGAAAATATGGTACCTTTCTCAAGGATGGTAAAATTACCCTTCAACTATACTATGTATAAATGTTCTCTCCGACCCTCTACCAGATGGTTGCAGCTTGTGTGAGCAATCACTCTGCGATAAACATAACATGCTTGTGTTTGGGAAAAACAAGTCAAACAATCTTTTCAACGGACAGAAAAGGCTGACCTGATCCTGCTGTATCAATACATACGAGGCAAAGCTTTTGCCTCCTTTCAAAAGAAAAGGCTGATCTGATGCGAGGGAAGCATGACAAAACTGTTTCAGTGTTTCTTCTTTGGCTGCTCCTATATAGTAGAACATCCACGGTTTTATGACATAACTAGTGATATGTGAACATAATAGGTGATTTTGTTTCTCCATCTTTCTTTCATTAGTGCTTGATGTAGTTTTGAAATGCCGATTTTTCTTTTCTAGATCACTTTTTACCACCTTTATGTTCTATCCATAGAAATGGTAAAGGGCCAGTTTCTTTGTCCAGCCAAAGGACCCAAGGTCCTTCCTTCGATCAATGTCAGAAATTCTTTGGTTGGGAATCCTCCCACCACAGAATACCACATCGACCAACAACTAGTTCTGCTGATGCTTCGGGACAACCGCTACAATCTTCAGCTGAAGCACATGATCATCAAGTAAATGGAAGCCAATATCATCTTCTCTGGACTCAGGCCTGGTTTAGTTCCCAACTTTTTCTTCAAACTTTTAACTTTTCTATCACATCATTCCAATTTCAATCAAACTTTCAATTTTAGCGTGAACTAAACACACCCTCATTTTACAGGTTTTCTCGGCCGCACACTGTCATAGGAACAGTTAAGTCATGCTGTTATGTTTCAATTTAGACACACTTCAGTGCCCAAGATATTTGATGAAGCTATGTCCTTGTGTTGTGTTTTCCTTTTGTTCTCTCCTCAACTAAGAGATTTTGCTTGTTTAATCAGGCACTTAGCATAGTCTCAGTTTCGCTGCTAGCTGTTGAGAATTTGTCCGATGTGTCTCCCTTGTTCCTCACTGGTTTGCTGGAGGTACAACTTGAAGCAGCACATTTATTTTATATTCCCCCAAGATGGATAAAAGTTTTCACTACATTTGCATTGTTACACTTGTGCAGGCAGTGGTAGCAGCTCTTTTCATGAACATCTATATCGTTGGATTGAATCAGTTGTTCGACATTGAGATAGATAAGGTACTTTGAATCCACTGTAATCTGTTTGTTAAAAAATGAATCCACTGTAATCTCAAATGTTAATTTTGTACTAATTGCACTGTCTTTTACTATCTTTATTACTAACTATTTTGGGTGCTAATATTGCTATCTCTTCAAGTTAACAAGCCAACTCTCCCATTAGCATCTGTGGAATATTCTCCTGCAACTGGAGTTGCACTTGTATCAGCCTTCGCTGCTATGGTAAATAAGCTTCTTTGGTCCAGAAAATAAGAAAAAACAATCTTCATGTTATGTTATTCTGGCCTATTTTTTAAATATGTGGGTCATGAAATGCTGAAATTGGCTGTTCAAGCACATGATTTGTTTTGAGCATTCCTTTTTAATGTTAACCTTTATAACTAGTGGTTTTCATTTGCGAGAAGATGAAAATAGCAGAATGGAGACACACCTTTCTTATATGGTTGAGCACTTGCACTCCAGAAAGTTTATTTATTACTATGTGCAGATAATTAATCTAATACAGTTTGTTTGTACTTTCTGCCATTGTGCTAATCTGATCAAGAGCTATAAATAATTTGTTTATTTTGGTTTTTCGTCTGTCAGACTGATTCAGAGCGTGTTCTATGTGTATATTGCAGAGCTTTGGCCTTGGATGGGCTGTTGGATCACAGCCTCTGTTCCGGCTTTTTTCATTAGCTTTATTCTTGTAACAGCATATTCAATCAATGTAAGAGACATATATCTTTAACTCCCTCTTTTGTATTTTTCAAATTAATAAGTAATAGTAGAGCCAACTATTTGTAGATTCATAGTATTGTTGGTATTTGATACGGTTACAGATAAAATCCGCAAGCGCACAGATATACCGATGTAACACTTCCCATACGGAGTATTCCAAGGGTATCGAATCCAAGGGAACTTGTGTGATTAGAGCTTCCTCCGGTTCATCCTAGGACACCAAGCAAATGATAGGCCAGGATAGAGAGGATTCACTAGTGAGAAACAGTGTCTAGGGAAAGCTTAATTTTAATCCTAACGCAATACTTCAGGCTCTGGCAACCCGCTGTTCCCAGATGTCACTCTACTACGTACCCGGACAGGGAGGACTTCAGTGATCTTGAGGGCTGTCACCACCTCTACACCCACCTCAACGTACTGTGGGATACGCATCAATTACTGGATAATAATTATCTAAACACTACGTCTAAGCAATTAATATCTACTTTAGTGTTTATAACTCACCAAAGCAATCATTATATTTTAGTTGATTATAGTGAACAATAATCACGTATGCTATTTAGGAACTAACCAAGAGATAATTCTCACAAGATAAATCTAAATTACTCAAGAAGAATATTATATTGAATTCAGAGTAATAAACAGAATAAAAGAAATAGGAGAAGATTACCGACAACTCCGGAATTCTTCCGACTCCTTCTACTCTACTCTCTTCCTATTCTAGTATACAATATAGTACAATAGAGCCTTTTATAATTCAGCTCAAGCTTGGAAGTGTGTGTATGAAGTGAGGAGGTGAAGCCTTTATATAGAGGTAGGTATGACGGTTGGCGAAGGGGAAATGTCCGAAGTGCCCTCCAACCGCCATCAGGGATGCATCTGGGACGTCCACACCAAACTCCACATCCAACGGTGGAGATAGTGGTTCGGCCGAACCTGGGCTGGGTCCATCTGGCCTGGCCTTTGGTCCAAGTCCTCCCCTGGTCCTCCTCTATACATTTTGGGCTGATTTACTGATGTTTCGATGAAGTTCACAACCCATCCTTGTATGGATACAGAATTCTCCTCACTTTAGTCTAGATTTCCTCCTTCAGGGTTTATCATCTGCATACAAATACATACATACACTTGCGGAATACGTGAGATTAAGCACCTATCACTATGTTGGATATTTTATTATCTGATCTTTATGCAAATGTTGGCGGTATAGAATCGGCATTTAACAGCCGCCAACAGGTATGTCATTTCATTGATCTTAATATCTTATCTCATGTACTAACTTTAGTAGGACAACTTATTTCTATTTTTTAAGGAATGTATTTCCAACTATAAACCAAACCACAAACCGTAGCTCCAGAGGTATAACGAATATGGACATACTCATGGTTCGGCCCCCTTTGAAACAAAGGAAAAAACATAGGAATTCCAAAGGATTTATACCCTATGGGAAATAATCCTATGAGACCCTTTAATCAATTCCTTTGAAATTCCTATAGAATAGACTATTGTAGAGAAATTTTGGAGGAAAATTAGCATGAGGTCTTACCTCATGTTTTGTCTTCCTGTGTCTTGAATTCCTACTTCTTTCCTGTGTGACTATCAAATGGTAGTTTTGAAACATTCCCGTGTTTTCAAATCCCGTAGGAATACAATGAACAATAACACTCTATTCCTACTTCCTACGTTTTTCCTATTCCCGTGTTTTGACAATCCTGCATTTCAAAGTGGGCTGGGCAGATTATACTGACAAAAAGCTTACCTTGCAGTCAGTCTCCCCTCAAAGTTAACTAGCCAATATCGTCATTTTTAGTTTTCAAAATGTGGCTATGTTAAATATTGTCTGGTACTCCTTTCAGTGCATTTTTGGACCTCCAATCATCCACATATTTTTACTTCAAAAGAAAAAAAAATGAAATGGATGCTTTGACATAAACTTGTTTTTTGGGTTCCTGCATGATTTTTTTTTCAACGTTAATGGCTTTTTTGAAGCAGCATTTTCCGACACCTTTATTACCAAAAGAGCTGACATTCCATTTTATTCCTCCACAGCTGTCATTCCTGATATGGAAGAGATCTGCTGTTGTTGCAGGCTTGCAGCACTTTGCGTATTAGCAGTCCGTGCAGTGATTGTTCAGCTCGCATTTTTTCTCCACATTCAGGCAAGTCTTCAGTGAGAACTTCAAATATAAGGGAAAAAATCATTGGTGAAAAACAGTACGTTTGTCAATTGCAGTTGCATTTTCGTGTGGAATATTACCTAAAATTTGATTGTCTGGTCTGCTCAATTTCATTGTGCTTTGTTGTTGTTCTTTAGAGACTCCTAAGTTTTCAATACCTTGACCTTTATCTGCATATCTTTATTAGTACAAACATGCTGCTCTCCTATGCTTTCGTTAAAAGAATAGAGACTCCAAAAAATTTTCACTTCTACTTTTGCTTGGAATGTATCTTAAAGATTGTTGTTGTATATGTTTGGGTAATGGAAACCCTTTCTTATATTTTGAGTTTAATATGCCGTGGTTGTTGATAGCTGTAGTTAGGATCCACCAAATAAGAGTAGACATTTCTTTTTTGTGAGAATTACCAGCACATTTCTATTATTCGAGGAGCTTTTACCATGGATTATCAGATGTTATGATCATATGAACAGATAATTGCATAGCATATGATCTTATCCTAAAAATCTGTTCATGCAAATATATCGGACATTCGTATTCAGAAGACCAGCTGTCTTTACCATGCCATTGATTTTTGCAACTGCATTCATGACCTTTTTCTCAGTTGTAATAGCATTATTCAAGGTAATATTCTGTACTTATCTGGGACGTAGCTCCCTATAAATGTATGGGTAGAGACGGGCGTATTTCCCTTTTTTGATGGACTTTGAGTTAGACGTTTTTTCCTTTTTTTTTTGACGAGAAGTCCTTTTTTACAAGGGAGTCGGACGTTTTTTTTTCCTTTTTGTTACGACGGAATTTTTTTTCTAGCTGTTTTTTTAGTTTTATACGGACGGCGAAAACATCTTTTATTTTACTTTTTATTAATAAGTAGTAGAGATAGAGAAGAGAAGAGATAGAGATAGATGGTTAGACCAAAGGCAAAGTTTGCCGTTGCCGCCATCCACACCCTTCATTATGTGATCAACCGTTACATGGTTAGACCCCTTCCGTGACTAACTAGTACCTGCTATTTATAATGATAGAATTTACTCTCCAAAAAGAATATCAAAAAAGATAAGAACTATATTTTCAAACCATTTGGTATCCGTTCATTCAAGGAAACAATTTCATTGTACAAGACTATTTTTTTTTGAACGACTCGCCCTAGACAGTGCGAAGTTTTATTGATAGAGTAGGAAAAAAAATTACAAGATTATAATCCTGTAAGGTCATAACCAGGAAAACGAAAAATGTATACCACCAGCCGCACACTGACAGCGCCAATACACAGACCCAGGAGAAGGCTAGCACCGGATCGGCCGCCGCTAAGTGTGACCGATCGCCGCTAGGCCAAAAATGGAACACAACTGAGATCGCCCAAAACCCGACCCTTACAACCAACACAAAACCTCACTCTATCCAAGTCTTTGGGATTTAGGAAGAGAGGGAAGAATGGAACACCTCTCTCCCATAGGCCCTCCGACGTGGCCAACTTGCAGAAGCTAGGACGCCGTCACAAGAGGATATGAATCTAGAGCGGGCTTTCACCAATTGCTTGGGGGGGGGGGGGGGGTTGGGCAAGGGGGTGCCTAGACGACGTGACGTCTCTAAGGAGAGGAGCGACGAAACACCGCCACCGCCGTCCGTCAAGGTCTCAAAGAGAACCGAGTCTGAGCTTTCGCCCAACACCCACAATTGAGGGGTGGAACGGCACGGCAACGCCCTCAGGAGGGGAATGACGCTCAAACGTCATTGTTGCCTTGGGGTTTTCACCTGCCGTCCACCACCTGCTGATCTACCACTGATGCACCATTGCTCCACCGCCATCTGAACCTCCGTAGGCGTGTGGGCACCACTGCACCGGTGCCCCCCGCCGGCCAGTCTCCACGCGCTGCCACGGTCACGTCTCATCGAGCTGGCCTCCACCCGCTGCGACGGCCACCGTCTCCACGCCGGCAATCCTCGTCGTGCCGCAACGGCACCTCGGCCTCGCCTCCACGCACCACGGCCGTCCTCGGCCGCGCCTCACTGGCCTTCGCCGTCGCTAGCCGCTAGCCGCGCCTCCACGCGCGCTACCTCCGCGTGTGCTGCCTCCGCCGCCAGCTAGCCAGCTGCTGCTCCTTCCGCTGACTGCCCGTCGTCGCCGCGAGTCTCCCGGGCCGCGCCGCCGCTCCTCCCGCGCATTGTCTCCGCCGACGCCGGCCGTGCCAGCCAGGTGGCACCACTCCTCTGTGCACTATCGCCGCTGTCGCCTCGTAGCGCCGGCCCATCCCCACCGTCACCCACGGCCACGCCATCCTCCTGCCAGCCCGCCAGCCGCACCAGGCCGCGCAGGCTCGCCTGCACCATCCAGATCCAGCGTGGGGGTGCCAGATTCAGGCGCCCCGCTGCTGGATCCGCGGTCTTCGCCCGCCGCCATCCCATCGCTGTCACCATCCCTACCGCCTCCTTCGCCGAGACTCTGATGTCGCCGTCGCCATCCCCGCCGTCGTTGTAGACGCCTTTCCCGCCACCGGCCACCACCCCACCAGATCCGGCCGAGGCGGCACGGATCTGGCGGTTGCCGCCGCCGCTACCCAGGGTGACTCCCATGGCCGCTCGAGCCGGTTTGGCGAGAGGCCCCGCCGCCGCTGTCCTTGCGGTCGCGCGGCTTTGCCGGCGGTCGCTCAGGTGGCAACGAGGCGGAGGAGGAAGAAGGAGGGGGAAGGGGCGGCCGGGTCGTTGCCTCCCGAGCCGCCCCTGGTGTTGGGCGACGTGAGAGCTCTGTGGATCGGTTTACTGCACAATACTATATTTTGTTGATTTGTAAAAATAAAAGTAATAGAAACTGCTAATCCTTATAAAAGGCTATAGGGAAAAAATTTACATCTATAAAC